GGTTAATCTGCCGGCGATATCAACTCGGGGCAGCGGCCGGATGCGGCGACGGTGACGGTTGCCGGCAACAGTGGCGGAGCGGCAGCTCGACGGCGGCGAGCAGCGACTGGCGGTGCTGCAATCGACGGCGGCGCTGCACTCGACGGCGGCGGGTGGCCGCTGTGCAAAGGGCGACGGCGGCTGGAAGCTCGGCCGACGACGGCTCTCGATTCCGGCGAGGGCGAAACAGCGGCGACCGGCGTTTGGCGACGGCGGCGCTGCGCTCGACGGCGAGGAAGGACGCCGGCAGTAGAGGCGATGTCCGGCCCTCGGCGTGGCGGCGCTGCAATCCGTCGGCGATGAGGCGGCGAGGTTGGGGAAGGCGAGCGACGGCGGCTCTGGAGTCTCGGCGACGGCGGCTGGACCTGGCGGTGAAGCTGGACGGGAAAGACGAAGAAGAAAGAAGAAGAAGGAGAAGAAAAAGAAGAAGAAGGAAGAAGGAGAACGGGAAGAGGAAGAAGAAAGAAGATAAGGGTTTTGTGGCTGAAATTAGTTTAGGTTTATTTAATGGTCCCATTCCAAAAAGGATTGGGCTTCGGACCCAAAATACCTGATTAAATGGTCATAACTTGAGTTCCATAACTCCGATTCGCGAACCGTCTGAACCGACGCGATCATTAAAATATTTCCTACGAGATGACATAAAAGTTGGGCTTAAAATCCAAATTATAATTTTTACCCCTTATTGGGCCCAATTCGTAATCAATTGCTCTAACAATTTAATTAATTCTTTTGGGCCAGGTTTCGGGGCGTTACATAGAGCCACACTCATGGTCAATTGATCATCCTCCACAACCTGTTCAAAAATTTGAAAGGTTGCCCTTTAAGGAAAAAGCCAGTGTCAAGTATCTTTAATGGAAGATGTTTACAGAACTTCTCATTGGCGTGTGCAATTGACCAGGAGGAATTTTTTTATCTGCTTCAATGTTGAATTAAAGCTCTAGTCACTTTATTCATGAAGTAGATCATTATAGGTACACTATATATACCAAACAATAACACGAAGTGCAATAGCTTTAAGCCTTCCAATAAGGGTTTAAGACCTAACATCAAGACACACATTGCATACGCAAGTGTTTGAGGGAAAAGGAATTTGCAATAAGACCATCTAATATAGTAGCAAAAAATTATAACACACCCCAATCCGCGTAACCCGAACCAACGAGTTAGCGAATTGGGTTGCTACTAATTTGGTATTCACATGCACAATATTTTAAAAACATTTCAAAATAAAACAAACATTCTTTCATAATATCAATTCACATTTATTTAAAAACTATTCATAATTAATCGGAGTAAATAATTCAAACGTTGCGGAAGCCTTGAAAACAACATTCAACATTCTAATAATTTAAATAAACAAATTCAACAAATTGTATTTAATTTAAGTAAAACAGCTTCGGGCCATCCACCAGCGTCACGCTTCACTATCCTCCAGGCTGCTCCTCATCCAATCCTTGATCCCTACCTGTAAAAATAGAGAGAGTGGAAGTATCTAACGCTAGAACTAACTCATAGACTAGCACCCATTCACATATGATCATACAATATCAGAATAATCAGCAAATATCATTATCCAACTCTACCACTATTTACCCTTATATTTCAGTTTAGTTCTTATGCTTCCTTACTCCATCTGCCTGCTAGATATTATCTAGGCTCTCGCCCAAACCCACACTCATAACTCCAAAGCTCTCGCAATGGAGGGGGTTGAGGCCCCCACTGGCTCTCGCCAGGGGTCAATGACCACCGTGCACACATTTTTAACCCTCGAGACCACTATGTGTACGACTTCACCTGCATGACCTAAGTTTCTAATCTCAACCCGATTTATGATTTCTAATATCTAATTAAACTCAGATTCACCTTGTACCACTAGGTGGCCTACTTCACACTTTTATTTCACAACATAACAATACACCAATAAGCTCACTAACATCTTACATACTAAGAACAACACGAACATAGGCCTAACACGAACATAGGCCTAACAGAAGAACAGATGCAAATCTAGATCACAAAACACATAAATCAAGCAACACAACCGGACAATAAGGACTGCTAAATGCCCTAGAAGCAGTAACTTCCCTTCTCGTTTGGAAGCAAGGTGGAAATAGCAACACACCGCCACAGCAGTGGCAGTAGCAAGTCAGCACATATAGAGAGAGAAGAGACGAACAGAACAGAGAGAGAAGAGAGAGCATGATCGTAGAACACAAAGCAAGAGATAAACAAAACACAGCAGTAGTAGCAATGTATAAATTTTCCAAAATCAAATTCATATCCCAACTCAAATTAAATTCACACAATCAGTCGCATAATCATACTTACGAATTCAACATCAATTGGATGAAAACATATTAATGAATCCTAATCTACGAACTAATTTTAACTAGAGATAAATCACTCACCTTGAATCAATTGGCAAGGTATCCCACTCTAATTGGCTTAAGAATTCTAGCGTCTTTCAAGCAATTCTCTGCCGAATTGCTCCAACGATTTCCCTCTCCTCTGTTCCGGTCTTGTCGCGCGGCGAAGAAGATAAATGCAGGCGGATGATGGTGATCTACGGCAGTGGGGAAACAGAGCAGCGCATGGAGTATTTAAGGAAATTGGGTTAGGGGTTTGGGTCTCTAAAGGGTTTGGATCTCAAGGTCCAATACGTATAGAAATAGGGATTACCCTTTTTTCCACCCTAAAGCTTATACGCATATATAAAAATGGTCCCTGTATTTCTCCCCAAATAGGATTGGGGTTTCTTTTTCTTACGGCTAAGGTTTAGGAAGGTTTAATAATTATTATATTATAAAATCTTTATATTTACTTATTGAACTGTAACATCTATTTTACTCATCACGTTTTACGCAAAAGTCCCAACTTAACAAGCTATATACCATTGGTCACTATTTTACGAGATCTACCCGAAAACCTAATTTTTAATTAAAATGGTCAACTTTATAAATAATTCATATTTTGAAGTCAATAAATAATATATTCATTTTTTATTAAAATAACGACTAACTACTAAGCCGGGTTTCAGGGCGTTACATTTACTATTACCAAAAAACTATTCCATATCATTTCAATTATGATGCCTCCAAAGTGGGTATTCCTAAAGCTTGCAATGCCAGTATGCACAAAAATACTTTTAGCATTCTTAGAGTATGGGTATGCAAACAAAGTTGCTGTATCAGGGAGTAATGACAAAAAGAAAGTTTATTAGCCTACTGTATTGGAGCCTTTTATATTCAAAGATATTTTACCGAGGAGTTATTTGAAAAGCTTAACATTAGGATTCAAACACTCACATTTCTCTATAAACAGAAAATGAAATTAAACATAAAATTATTTAATATTTGATAATCCAATTTATAAAATTGGATTTTATTTATCTAAAAATCATACTACGTAATTTAATAAAAAGAACATTTTAAAATTGGAATTGTCTAATTCTCTGACCGTATTATACCAAATTGTATGTCTTGCAGAATCGCTACTTAAAAGGCATAGCCACCATCCTCTTTGTCTAGACCTAAAGTTAAGCCGGCAAATCCACCAACCCGCAAGAATCGGGGAAGACATCGGTGCCCTAGAAATATAGCTTACAACCTTGAATTAAGATACCCCATCTGAGAAATACAAAGCATTATGGTGTAAGGTCAAAAAAGAAATAACTAAAAGCTCACCAAAGGTAGCATGAACAATTGTTGAGGTCATTGTCATCTCCATCGTTCAAGTCCTAAGAGTCTTCTTCCTCATAGCAACAAAAAATCCTGCTTTTGTATATATATAACAGGGATATTGGGTTCACCAATCATCAGCAGAGTGAAAGAGAAAATTTTATTCTCTAGTTATGAAGGTGATGAAGAATTTGAATTAAAATAAATAATAGTGATACCTCAATCTCACTGCACCTGAAATCATCTTTTAAAATCGATTGAAGATCGAAACTACAGTGCTAAGGTTGCACCCGAAGTTAAAATCAAACTTTCATCAGAGATTGCTAGAAGGGAATCTGAAAATATTGATTATTATAAACCCTAGCTGTGAAATCCATGGGTAAGCATGGCCAAATTTTTAGTATGAGATATAATTAACTAATTCTAAAAACAATCGAAACATACTTGAGGTAGCCATTGTCCCTGCCGTGTCTTCTTTGTTGACGTCGTCGGCCTAGGTAGCCGCTCATGAACAATAGACGGTGAAGAAAAATCAAGAAACAGGGGGGAGGGACAAAGAAGCAGAGGCGGTCGCCATGGCCGTCATCCCGCCGGCGACAGAGTTCGGAGATCTATGCGACGAAATCGTCGAAACCATCTTCTCTTTCGTCCCCCTGAAATCCCTAGCGAAGCTGGAGACAGTTTCCAAATCATGCGGCAATTGATTTCCAGAGTCCGGCTCCACCACCCGCCCGTCACCGACTCCGGTCTCATTCTCCACCTCTGGTCCTTCGGAGGCACCGGAATCACTCAAAAATCCGTCTTCTTGAAACTCCACTACCCCCACAACGCCGAGCTCTGCACCATCAACTCCTCCGCCCCGAACAAATTCCCCTTCTTGATCGATTCTTGCAACGGGTTAATCCTCTATGGAGCAGATATATGGACGACAAAAAGACTTAAAATTACATCGTACATTCCCAGGTTTCCGACCAATTCATAGTTTGTGTGGTGAGAACTGCGGTTTGTGCCTTAGAGCACTAGAAATGAGCTTCACGCCCGCCGGCGTGAATGGGCATTTAACGCCCCGAGGCGTGAAACACCGCCCCCTCCGGCGTTATCTGGGCTTGATTGGGCGTGCGTTAAAGGAATGACGCTGCGTGATTCCATTCCCCTCCCCCCTTAACGGCTATAATAGACATTGCACCCCCCAATTCAAAAAAAAATTCTTATAAATTCAAACCCCCTCTCCCAATCTCTCACACCTTCTCCATCTTCAATCTCTTCTTCTTCCCAATTTTTAAAATTCAAAATTACCCCCTCTCTTTTCAACATGAATCCTTCCGGCTCCGGCTTCTTTCCCGACGATCTCCCGCCGAGTGACGCCGCGATGTGGTTGTACCAACAGTGGGGCGATCGACCGCCGATCTACGAGACGCAACAATCGGGGTATGTCGACCGAGATTTGGTTCCGGAGACTCAACCGGAACCGTCCGGATCGAAAAAAAGTACACGCCGGAGGAGCCACAAAGCCAGAAGCACGTCGGCCGAGGCGGCACGGTCAATCCAAAAGTGGACGCCGGAGGAGGAGTGCATATTGGCGTCGGCTTGGGTTGACGTCTCTGAGCATCCTATCATTGGTAAAAATTTAATTTTTCTAATATATTTATGTTTTTATTTATATATATTACTCCCTCCGTCCCCCATAGATCTTCCCATTAACCCTTTTTATTTGTCCCACATAGATCTTCTCATTACCTTTTTTAACATTTAAAATACCACAACTACCCCCACTTACTTTATTTATTACACCTTTTCCACCTTATTTAATACACCCCACCCATTTTCATTAAGGGTATTTTGGTAAACTTTCACCTTTTTTCAACTCTCCTTAAAAACCGCAAAAAATCAAAACGAGAAGATCTTAGGGGGACGGAGGGAGTATATTTAATGGTGTCTAAAAAAGTTGTGTAATACATTTTTAAAGGAGAAGGAGTTGAAGCTAAAGGAGCAGGATGC